TTTTTGGATGGAGCCTGCCACGAGAAGTGGGTCACTCCGTGTGCCATGTGCTGGATGCATGAAGCGTGGCCCTGCCTCAGCCTGCTTCACCGAGGGATGGGGAGAATTGAAATGGACTGACAGCAAGTCCCCAGCCCCCCTCATGCAAAGTGGATCTGGATCCTTATTGAACTCGCCAAGCACAGACCCAAAAGAGAGAAAAGTGCCCCCTCCCCCACTCCCAGGATCCAGAAATAAACACTTCTCATTCCATCCGTGAAGTCATGTGAGGCAAACATCTCGCTCTGACCCAATCAATGTAAGGGGATGTTTGTGACCCTGGAGACATGGTGTCTGAAACCTGCACAGCACAGGGGGTGCACAGACCTCCAGCGACAGGTTTCACCCCAGAGATATTCTGCTAATAGTCACTGGAGCCGTGCTTGGGAAGAAACGGGCCTGCCCTGTGCACAGTGGGAGAGGCCCCCAAGATATGGTTTATGGCGGGCAGAGCCTGGCCTTCCTGGGTGCTGCTCTCTGGGCCTCCCTCTTAGCCAAGTCTCTGACCTTATCTCTTGATAGTGCAACTTGTTTACTCAACCTGCCCTGTACCAGGGAGTGGATGTGTCTTACTGCCCTTATTTCAATCTTTGGGCCTCTCACTATAAAAGAAAGAAAGAAGGAAGAAGGGGAGGAAGCTGAATCAGACCTTTCTCCCCATAGAACAAAGCCCATAAAATTCCAAGAACCAAGACCAAAAAACGAACAAACAAAAACAAGAGATAATTATTATATTTTAGAAGGAGATATTACCATCAAAGGAATGAAACATAACTCATGAGACAGGGGTCAATAAAAACTGGGGTCGTTTTATAAATTCTATGGCATTTCCATTTAAGGGACTATTATAAATACCTAAGTGAAAAGTGTGGTAGAAAGGAACCCACACCATGCAATTTTATAAAAGATAGAGTTGACTTTATAGGTCCTCTACCAAATAGCTAAAAAGAGAACCCAAGAATGCTTTCTTTAAAAAAATATTGACATATAATTCACATGCCACGAAATTCACTCTTCATTTGGCATTAATGCATCAGACAAGGATTTAATCTTCAAAATATATAAAGAACTTATACGACTCAATACCAGGAAGACAGACAATCCAATTAAAAAGTGGGAGAAGGACCTGAATAGACATTTCTCCAAGGAGGACATACAGAGGGCCCAGAGACATATGAAAAGATGCTCAGCATCTCTAGCCTTCAGAGAAATGCATACTAAAACCACAATGAGATATTACCTCGCACCTGTCAGAATGGCCATCATTAATGAATCATTAATGAATCTCCATGGCATGGCTATGGAGAAAAGGGAACCCTAGTGCACTGTTGGTGGGAATGCAGACTGGTGCAGCCCCTGTGGAAAACAGTATGGAATTTCCTCAGAAACTAAAAATGGAACTGCCTTTCGACCTGGCGGTTCCACTGCTGGGAATATACTCTAAGAATCTTGAAACATCAATTTAAAAGAACTTATGTACCCCAATGTTCATAGCAGCACTATTTACAATAGCCAAGTGCTGGAAACAGCCTGCTACCCATCAGTAGATGAGTGGATCAAAAAGCTGTGGTACATTTACACAGCAGAAAGAAAGAAGGAGCTCCTACCTTTTCTGACAGCATGAATGGACCTGGAAATTATTATGCTAATAATAAGCCAGGCAGTGAAAGACAAATACCATATGATCTCACCTGCAAGAGGAATCTAATGAACAAAATAAACTAATGAGCAAAATAGAAACAGGGGCATGGAAACATGGAACAGACTAAAAGTGACCCGAGGGGAAGGGGAGGGGGATAAGGAGGAAAAGAAGGGGATGGGACTAGTCAAACAATGGGTATGAATGAGCCACGGACATCAACAAGGGTGTGGGGACTGCCTGTGAGAGCAGGGGGTTGGGATGGGTAAAGGAGGGCAAAGGGGAAAATTGGGACAACTGTCATAGAATAACAATAAAAAAATGAAGTATAAAATTCAGTGGTTTGTAGTATGTTTACAACGTTGTGCAGCTATACCACTTTCTAATTCCAGAACACTTTTATCGCCCCCAAACGAAACCCTGAACCCATTAACACTCACTTCCCATTCCCTTCCCCCGAGCCCGTAGCAATGACTAATCTGTCTTGTCTCTATGGGTTTGCCTTCCGGGGTGTGCAACCCTTCTGCGTCTCTGGGCCACACTGGAAGAAGAGTTGTCTTTGGCCACACATTAAATACACAAACACTAATGAAAACTGATGAGCAAAAAAAAAAGGCTTTAAGTCAACGTACAATTTTGTGTTGGGTAGCGCTCATAGCCATCCTGGGCCAGGTGTGGCCCACAGGCTGCAAGTTGGACACCCCTGAGTAGAATCACACAATATGCATTCTTTAGTGTCTGGCTTCTGTCATTGAGCATACAGTTTTCAAAGTTCACCCACATTATGACATGTATCAGTACTTCATTGTTTTTTACGGCTGATAATATTCCATTGTATGGACAAACTACATTTTGCTTATCCAGGATGAGATAAGCTAGAAGTGGTTAATGATTCATTTGCCAGGTGATCAATGGTATTTATAATTTAGTGTAAAAAAAAGAGTATATTGAGCTAAATTTAAACAATATAACCTGCTTTGTGCCAGACCTCCAGATACCCACCTTGTCACTTAATAAGTGCCCATTTGGTCATTTCCTCTGAAAGAATGTCCCTGATGGGAAAGTGTGTGATGCACTGTATCCGTGAAGTTCTGTGCTTTCAAATTAAGCAAATTGCTATGCTATGAGGTCCACACAGCCAGTTTTCAAGTGTAAAATGTCACTCAAGTATATTCAGATATTGAGATAGTCAGAGAATTGAATGTTAAATATTCTAATAGAACCAAAGAAGATAAACAGATGGCAAATGAGCATATAAAAAGGTGCTCTACATCATGCCATTGGGAAATACAAATTAAAAAACAACAAGATACCACTACACACCTATCAGAACAGCCAAAATCTGAAACACTGACAACACCAAGTGTTGACAAGGATGTGGAGCAACGGAAACTCTCATCAATTTGCGGTGGGAATGCAAAATGGTACAGCCAGTTTGGAAGACAGTCTACAGATTCCTCACAAAAGTAAACATACTTTTACCAAAGGATCCAGCAATTTGAACTCCTTGGCACTTGCCTGAAAGAGTTGAAAACTTATGTCCAATCAAAAACCCTGTACATCAATGTTTAAAGCAGCTTCATTCATAATTTCCAAAACTTAGAAGCAACCAGGTGTCCTTCAATAGATCCATGGATAAATTGTGGGGCATCTAGACCATGGAATATTATCCAACACACACAAAAAAAGAAATAAACTATCAAGTCATGAAAAGACATGGAAGAATATTAAATACCTATTGTTAAAATAAATAAGCTGATCTGAAAAGGCTACAAAGTATGAGATTTCAACTACATAATATTATGAAAAAGGCAAAGGTATGAAGACAGTAAAAAGATCAGTAGTTGACGGGGTTTTTGAGGGGTTGGGTAGGAAACAGTGAACAAGGGGAACACAGAGGATGTTTAGGGCAGTGAAACTATACTATATGATACCATAATGGTGGATAGATGTCATCATATGTCTATCCAAATCCACAGAATGTTCAATGCCAAGAGTGAACCCTAATGTAAACTATGAACTGTGGATTTTAATGTTGTATCGATATAGGTTTATCATTCATAACAAACTCTGGTGGGTGATGTGGACAGCGGGGGAGTCTGGAGAGGAGGGAAAGGGGGTACATGGGAAATATCCCTACCTTCCCCTCAGTGTTGTGGTGAACCTAAAGCTGCTCCCAGAATAAAGTCTATTTAAAAGAAAAATCTGCCCTGGCTAGTGTAGCTCAGTGGATTGAGCATGGGCCTGTGAAGCAAGGGGTCGCTGGTTTCATTCCTGGTCAGGGTGCATGCCTGGGTTGTATGTAGGCCAGGTCCCCAGTGGGGGACATGTGAGAGGCAATCACATGTTGATGTTTCTCTCCCACTCTTTACTCTTTTTCCTTCCCTAAAAATAAATGAATAAAATATTTTTTTAAATCTGCTAGAATCTTTGCAGTAAGGATGTGCTTAGCAATACCGGCTGACAACCAGGCCATTTTTCCACCAAGTGTTTGGTCTCCTTTCGGTGAGACTTTTTTTTTAAATTCTGGGCCCATGTGTGAAGACTGTAATTGACAGTTTCAGGACCACGAGTTTTAGTCCAGCGCCGTGGAATCAAGTTCTCACCTGCCATTCAATCTCCTCACTGGAGAATCGGGGAGTTGTCTTAGGCCATGTCTGAGGCTCCTTGCAGCTCCACCGGTCTGTGAACTGCTGGGGGGTGGGGAGGGTGTCTGACAAAAGGCAATATATAAGCTTGGCTCCAAAAATGTGACTCCTGCTTATCTTTTTCCGCCCCAGGGATATGTCAAAACCAGTAACCATATTTTTCAAAGAAAAATGCAGGGCTTATTATCTAACAAAGGACTTCTTTATATTTGAGGAGTTATCTGGGTTTCCTACCAGCACATATGCTCGAAATAGAAAATTTGGAAAGTTTAGAAATACATTTTTAAAAAATGCTTGTGGCTGCTCATTCAGGAAAACCACGAAGATATTCTGGTGGTTTTCCTTCCAATCTTTCTGAAATTGTTTGTTTCCAAGTCTATCTTTGTCCCTAGACTGTGAATGCTGGGGTTTTTTTTTCTTACTTATCTTCCCAAAGCCTGGAACTTAGTAGGTATTCATTAATATTTAATTTAATGAATCAATTAAGTTTGCATGGCGAAATACTTTTAATTTCATATTTCTATCATTTATGGGACTAACCGGGTAAAATTATTGAAAGCAGTTGCTCCCCATCGAGAAGCATCAACCTTAGTTTGGGGTACTTATCACATGCTTAGTTTGTGAAGAGTTGGCTACTGAAGATAATTTTTAAATATTGGGGCAGGGTGGAGAATATCACAGAGGCCATTGTACTTTCGTAAGGAAAGCCAGGCCTCAGAATTCATAGTCTCTGTGTTTTCACAGAGAAGGTGGCATTAGCGGAATGATCAAACTCCTACAAACACAGCTTTTGTTTCCTTCTTTTTGACGACTTTAATGCTTTAAGGCAGTTTTAGTTTCCATGACAAAATTGAGAGGAAGGTACAGAGATTTCCACTCACAACCTGCCCCTCACAAAAGTACAGCCTCCCCCATCATCAGCATCAGTCCTCAGAGTCACATGTTATGACCAAGTATGAGCCTACACTGATACGTCATGATCACCCAAAGTCCAGAGTTTACCGTAGGGGACTCAGCTCTTGTGTCCTTTCATGTACATTACATCCCTGAGTAGTATTCAGCTGCAACTGATCAAAAACCCTTATTTTATCACAGAACAGGAAGTTTGGAGTGAGGCATTTTCAATGTTCAGATCAAAGAGCTCCACCCTGTCATGGCTGTGCCCGGGCTGCTGGGGTTTGCTCAGTCTTTCCCTCACTTTCCACGTTCCCAGCATCACTTCTGCATTCAACAAGGGAGGCAGATGGGAAAAGGAAAAAGCCACGACAGGGTGGCCTTTCAGTCTGCTTCAGTCTCCTTTTAACAAGGGAGCAAAAACTTCCCAGAGTTCATCTGAGTCCCAAGAAGACTTCCGCTTAGGTCTTACTGCGCAGAATCAGGTGACGTGGTCAGCTACAGGAAGGTCTGGAAACAGAGCTGTGTATACTGCTACTGCAAAAAAAATTGAGGTTATGTCAGCATGGTGAAGGGACGAATGGATCTTGGTATGCAAGTCTTCTCAGCCCCCATTGCACAGATGAGAAAACTGGGACTCAGAGGAGCAGGTGCAGTGGCAAAGATGTGGTGGACACAGAATTTGAAACTCACTCTTGTGCCTCAAAGCCTATGGCAAGCCCTGTAATTCTCTTTCTCCCTGCTCAGTCAGCAATGGACATTGAACCTTTCTGAGGGTCACAGGACTTAACAATTGAGAAACAAACAGGGTCAACTCGAGTTGGGAGCCTGTGGGAGATAGTAAGTCTGTGTGTGGTTTCCTCTGCCTGAGATGGCCTGTGGGCTTCTGCTTTTTGTTATTGTGGGTTTTTTAAAAATTTTATGTATTGATTTGAGAGGGATAGAGAGATCCATTTTTTGCATGCTTATTGATGCATTCACGGTTGACTCTTGTACGATCCAACCCAAAATCCTGGCGCATGGGGATGACACTCTAAACAATGGAGCTACCCAGCCAGGGTTGCTTCTGGTTTTCTTTGTTGCAATGCTCTAAAGGACTTTCTGGGTACAAGTTCCAGTAGAGGAGGTGTGGCCAGCTGTGGGCCATCACACCTCTCAAAACCTCAGATGACAATAGAACGTTGACAACCAGTCCCACTGCAGACTGCTGGCCTAAAATATGAGCTTCTGGGCAGAGAGGGGTGCATGGCAAAAGCTCGCTTTTAGAAGAAAAGTTCCTCAAGATGTCTTTTATTTAACATCAGGGTTTTCCTTTGGCTGCTGTAACTTTTCAGGACATAGCTTTTGGGGAGTGATAGGGAATTGCAGGGATCGACACCCATAAAACCCCCTTTCACCGAACAGGAGACAGAATGCCTTGTGTGTAGTCCTGTGAAGAAAAGTTAAACAATGCTTGGACATTAAAAAAAATGGTGACTGCATGTCCTTTCAAAGTCACACTGAGCACTGTCTACTAAGCCAAGGGCATTGAATTCTCGATGGAAGTGTGCCTTTGATTTTCTATTCACCATCGATTAGGGCCTGGATTCTACCCAGTCAGATGCTCACACATAGCTCAATACATTACAAAGTATTTTTTTCTCCACCAGTGGAGCTACAAATGATATGTTTCATTTAAAAGAAAAAAGGATAACCTCAAAGGTTACACTTTTATTGCCTTGTAGGACATTGAACCCTTTTGTGTTGACCTTGACCTTTCTTTAACACACTGAACATTCTTTTTAAATATATATATATGTCAGTCTCTCCTATATGTTTGTTTCCTCATTAATGAATTAAATGTGTTTGATACGTGCTCACCATGTATTTGTATAAAGGTTGTATTTCTAACTTTTTGAAACTTGCCTTCCCAGGGCCATGGTAGCAACGTGAAGATTATAAAGAGCAAAGAGGTAAACCGCTCTGGGAGTATATGTGCTATTGAATCTGATCCTTGCCTTCGGCGCTTCATAAACACTGTCTGGAAGCTGCTCCTTGCAGGGTGTTCATATTGGATTCCAAAACAAAATCAAAATAAACAAAACCATGTCAAATGAGAAAGCCCCAGGCCAACAAATGCATGAACAGAGAAATTGCAGTTTTAGAAATGAAATGAAACGAAATGAAATCTGGTGGTGGTGTTTCCCAGAGAACATCCTTTTGCTTCTAAATTCTGTCTCTCTGCAGTTACTTGCTTTCTTTCCAAGCCCAAGGCCTATTTTCAAGGGCAAGTGCATCAGATAGGATTTCTCATGCAAAGAAAAACAAGCCCCATCATGTCTATTTTTTCCAAATCTCCACAGGCCTCTTTTCCTTCTCCAGGGGAGAGGACATGCACTATGAAGACCCAGAAGCCAGTGCCGTCTCGAATGGACACCCACTTCAAACAGTCTTCACTTGTCACATTTGATAGGGACTGGATTCTAGGTTCTAGAAACCATCGCTTGGGATCTAATGATAAAGAATTGCAACTGTATTTATTTATTTTCATCATCTTGGTGGTGGAATCAACAGAGTCCGTGGACAGAGAAGAGTATTTGAGAAATAGACAAATTACGTCCCACTAATTATCATCTATGGGCATATAAAAGAGGGTACTTGTCAATTCCCAGTCAGGGCACATGCCTGGGTTGCAGGCCGGTTCCCTGCAGGCCAGTTCCCAGCAGGGGACGCACAAAAGGCAACCATACATTGATGTTTCTCTCCCTCTCTCCTTCCCCCCCTTCCCCTCTAAAGATAAATAAATAATAAAATATTAAAAAAAAAAAGAGGGTACTTGTTTGAGGTGAGCCTTTAGTTCAAGTACTTCTCCTGACACTTTGTTTCAACAGAAATTATTCAAGATACCAACCATGTGCTGTGTTGGTAAATTTGTTATAAAAATAGTCATCGCCTAAACCACATTGTCACGAGTTCTTGCAGTCCCTGACAGCGTGTTTCCACTGCTAGCGCAGTTGCATGTGGGCAGGTTGGAAGTGGCAGGACAAGTGGAGTAACTCCAGTAGTGATATTCCTCCCAGAAAAACACCCAACCCTGAGAATTCCAGGGTGATTTCCACCAAATGCGCCACAGGAAAGTGCCCCAGGGTAACCCATGGCAGAGTTCCGTTATGTGTGCTCTATGCCATTTACAAATGCCTATAAATAGTAAACGCGCATGACAATGTTGTCATTTATGTCTGCAATCTATTTATTGTCTCTTTCACAGTCTAGATCTTCAAACAATTCACCTTTCACTCAAAGAAAACCACTAGGAACTATATACATAACAAGACATTTTTAGAATTAGTATTGCTTAATACCAATGCTAAATAATACTTTAGGGATTATTTTATATACTTAGATGCCAACTGGTAGGAAGTCACATATGTATCAGAAAGTCTTTGAGCCCTGGCTGGTGTACTTCAGTGGACTGAGTGCCAGAGTGCAAACCAAAAGGTCGCTGGTTCAATTCTCAGTCAGGGCATATGCCAGGGTTGTAGGCCAGGTCCCCAGTCGGGGGTGTATGAGAGGCAGCGAATTGATAAATCTCTTGCACATGGATGTTTCTCTCCTTCTTTCTCCCTCTGCTGCTGCTCTCTCTCTCTCTGAAAATAAATAAGTAAAATCTTAAAGAAAGTGAATTATATTTGTTTGAAGGCAAAGGATTAGTTGTCTTTTCCCAGATATTCTCATATCACTGTCCCACCAATGTAATAATTTTATTTTAAATAGATAGCAGATTAATGTGACATCACACCTTGCAGAGAGCCATCACTCAGTGCTGATGATGGTAGCTTTTCTATTAGGAGCTTGGAAATCAAGCCTTCAGTACTCAGCTAGACTCTTATTCATTAGTCCATGATATTCACAATTCAAATTCTGACCTTTAGTCTTTGGTGCTCACTCCATTCTCTCCCTTAAAGGTGGGCTACAGGGCTCAGGTTAAGTTTTCTCAGTGCCTTAAATATCTCTTGTCCCAATAAAGAGACTAAAAACATTTACAAATATCATCATTCATATATTTGGGAAATATTTGAAACATTAAGCCACTTGCAAGGGTATCAGATGATAATCACAAAAACATAAATTCTCATGTCTACCTGTTAAAGTAATGTTCCCATGTGTCCGTGGGACACTTCCCCCTTTCTCTAGAGACATGAAATTTTCCAGTTTCTTAGGCTTCTTTATTGAAATGACTACCTTAGTTCTTTTGTTTGCTTTACTGATGGAGAATGTAATCATTGGGTTCCCATTCTTCTTCTTTTTTTTTTTTGACGATATTCTCTTTAACCATTAATGGGTTAAGATAAGATAGCGCTGTGGTTTGTTACCTATCCCCTGAGGTACAGTATTCTGAAATATAAAAGTCCAGTTTCAAAAACAGCTTTTGGCCATGTTTTTCTCTAAGTGGCAGAATTAATTACATAATAATCTCTGGCACAACCTGTGACTCCGTTTGCAATGTCACTCATTATGTGACTCAATCAGAAAAAATAATGGTCTGCATCCTTTTCCCATAGCCACCTCCCATGCAGAAGAAAGTCCCCGAGAGCTACTCAATCAAAATGAGGCAGGAAGCAGGCTTTTCGGAGACCACCCCACTTGCCAGGATCTCCCAGCAGCCTTTCTTTCCTTGTGCTGTATGATGAAAAGGTACAAACAGAACACTTCATGTTATTATGGAAGACTTCTCTGCTCTAATTGAATTTGTACTGCAATAAATTCAAGTTTCATTCATTCGAAGGAATCGTTAGAGCTTGGTATTTAATTTAGACGCCTGGAACAGGAGTCTTTGTCAGTCTTCTGCAGGAAAGGTTCACCTGCTTTTCTGTCCATTTCGTTTCTTAGACCCCTTCTTAGGTTGTTTGCTTTCACTCCCTAATGCTTTGGATCTATACAGATCTGTGGGAAGATTGTTTTACTGTGAAACTTCCACACAGTGTATGAGGTCGGTCCAGAAAGTATCCAGCCATGTACTATGAACCATAGAGACATTTACTAAAGAACATACAAGAATCATTGTACATAGGACAATGATGCCTCAGTCCCCTTCAAAGTAGGCACCTTAGGACCTCACACAGTTCTCCCAATGGCCATTAGCTGTCCTGTCATATGTTCCTGAGTCTCATGGATGGTCTGAAATCTCTTCCCTTTCAAAGGTGACTTTACTTTTGGGAAACATCAGAAGTCACAGGGCGCCAAATCTGGGCTGTAGGGGAATGAGGCACCTGAGTGTGTTCACCAAAAACAGTCTGCACCAGAGTGATGTGTGAGCAAGTGAGTTGTTGTGATGAAGCTGCCAATCACCAGCTGCCCATAGCTGCAGCCTTCTGAATCACCCAAATAGTTTCCACAGAGGAATGTTCAAGTTTAACACAAAATTCAGTGCAGATTCATTGGTCTACTGGTTCAGTCATTTTGAATGAGATGGACACACAGTGCACATGCTCACTCAATGGCATCTACCACCCCCACTGACTAGCACAGTGAAGTCATCGTTGTTCACGCATGTGCAT